TTTTTTTTTTTTTTTTTTTTTTTTTACACAAGGGAGAGATTTGTTGGTTTGATCATCATCATGTACGTGTCTGTACTCATCATCATAAATGGAGAAATAACTCAATCTATATGCACACACAAAATGCATGAGGTTCATATAGTTCTCTTTAAATCATCTTTATGATACAACCCTATACATTATTCACATGTTACTCTAAGTAACATGCATGTATTGGCCTTCATACATTCTCTATCATTAACATTAATTAGGGTGTGTCTTAAAAAGTCTTAGAAAATCATTGTCATAATGTATCATGACATTTAATATGTAAACATCATTTTAATATGGAAAAACATTATATTAAGTATCTCATCATCATACCTCTTAAATCATCATATTATCATATATCATCATCATATAACATCATCATATAACATTATCGTATAACATCATATAGCATTATCATATAACATAGTCACGTCATCATATATCATATAACATATTCACATTATCATATAATAGCGTAAATGACACGTGTAAGGGTCACTAGACACGTGTTATCATACATAAGGCAAGTCTTCCGACTTAGCGATAGTAAGACCACTTACTTGGTTGACCTTAGCTGACATTCTCCCGAAATTCGAATGCTTGTTGCTAGATTAACATTGCTCTACGAAATTATTATACTCAAGAAGTCTCGCAATCATCAATTATAATTCTAGCGTGGGAATTGGCTCACAAATTTTGTATAAAATAATTTAAATTTACTCTTAATAATTTAAACTAAGCCTAATTTTGCTTAAAATAATTTACCGTTACTCCTAATAATTTAACTAATTATGCATAAATAATTTAAATTTGATTCCAAAAATTTAATCGAGCTAAAAGGTAGTCTTTAAATGCTTCAATAAAGTTGATATTAGAAAGAAATGGTCCTATCAGACTCAAGTTGGATCAACCAAAATGCTGGCCTGGAGCTGTCAAAAGATGTATTCTTCAATCAAATCGTTAAGGTAAGATGATAAAATGAAGTGAGGAACCTCCTTATAGTAGAGGTCAATTCCTACTTCTCAAACTTAAGAAATGTGGGAAAATTTCCCGTTCTCCTTTTTTTTTCTAATTTATCTTTTAGTTATTACATCATATTCCTCTAAAAAAACTTTTGTTCTCGAGAGTGTTTTAAGCTTGGAATAATTCGGCTCTGGTCTATCTAGTTGATGAAATAAAAAAAATAAATAAAGAAAAAAAAAAGATTTAAGTAAACAAGGAAAAACCTTACCTACTCCTCTCCAATCATCTCCTCAACTAACAGCCCCGAATATCTCCGGGCAGAAAGAAAGAAACAAAAAAATAAAAAACGTCAAATTTGAGAAAAATGAAAATGGCTTTAAGCGCAGTAGACAAGGGATCTCCCTTGGAGAGAGATCTTGGTCGGTTTTTACTGTAAAACCTATCTCATAATTCTTTTTTCTTTATACTAGCTTTACCAGAAATTAAGTTAGAATTAGATCTTCGTTCTTTTCTCCATTACTAAGATCAAGTAATTATCCGATCTCATTTCCCATATTCAATTAATTAGATTTTTGTTAAGCATTTTAAGTGGTAAGAAATAAGTTTAGAATCAATAAAATTTTAGTTGACAGTTCTATAAATCAGTAAAAGATAGGTGGTCAAACAATCGATTAAATTAGAGAAATATTTTTATAGAGTTCAAACTTGAAACGGATGTCAATGGGCTCACATAGGTTGATTTGATTTCAAAGAAAAGAATCGAACTTTCATTAAAGATATATTCGTGACAACAACTTAAGCTGACTAGGTAAGTGACCTTAGATACTTTCATGAAACGTTAAGGTTAGGTTACATACAAAAGTGTTATGGATATGAGAGATTGATAAAAGAATCCGGTTAGGTTATGGGTAAAAAGGAACAGGTGTGTGATAGATTGATAAAAACGATAGCATTAGGATACGTTCCTGTGATAATATGATTGAGGTACGTTCATGTAACGACATGACTGTGATAGTTATAAGAATGTTAAGGATATGATAAGTTAGGAAACGATATGACCACGATGTGTTTACGAATATATATATATATATATACATATATGTTATCATATGATATGAAAATTATATGAAATATGTCATGGTATGAGATATGTGATAAATTGACATGTTTATGATATGATATGCATATGATGAAAGGTTATGTTAAAAGCATGGGACGTTATGTTATGTCTCTTAAATTATGTGTATAAAGCATGATATGAATGACATGAAATGACGATAAATGACATGAAATATAACCTCAATAGAATTATGTATGATATGAGAATTGAAGAATGAGAAACGATATGATACGAATGATGAACGATATATGAAATGATATGAAAAATGATATGATATGTACAGAACGCTAGTGGGGTTGTATTAAATGACAATGAAAATAAAAAAATGTTGGGATCTCATGCATTATATGTGCTCATGCATTGGGGGATACTCCTATTCCATCACGAGGGTATGAACGCGTATGAACGCGTACATCCACTAGGCAGGCAAAGTATCATTATGTTTTACATTATGCTGCCATGACGGTTACTAATTCTAATGGGTATCGGTATAAGGAGAGCTACCAGGGCAGACTCGCCCGACAAGAAAAGGGACCCAGCGGTGTGCGAACTGTCTGGTGAGCTCATACCTGCACGTATGGGCTGTGTGTAGAGTATATGGTACACATCCAAGCTGTCCATTAGAATAGTGTCGTAGGAAAAATAAATTGATATGATAGGTCCCATCATTGCATTCAACGTTCTTACATTTAACTCCCAATAGTAGGGTCACTTATGAAGTATTTCTTAAAATACTCAAGCCACGTGCTACCTCTATTTCAGGTTAAAGCAAGACATTCCTGTACCGCTGGATGACATTGCAACTCGAGACTATGGTACATGCATAGGGTAGTCGTATTTATTTTCTTAGACTTAGACTAGAATAAGATGTTTTTAATTTAAACTTTATTTATTTATTTCATTTAGCCTTTTGTTGTATTGTTGTTTTTTAAGGTGTTTTCGAAACACGTGTATAGCTGTGTTTTAAGTTGAAGGTTATGTTTTATGAAAGAAGTATTTCTGCATTCAATGTTTATGATATTGTATACCGTAGCAACCTTAAATTAAATAGAAAATTTTGGGTTGTTACTAGTATTTGTGAAGTATGGATACGCAACATATGTTATGTATTGCGAAGAGGGATGGTGTTAACATTGATATGTATGTCACTTGTCTGATCCAACCTATAATGTTGAAAGGTTCGATGAAACCTAGACTTAGCTTGTAATTTCAACCAAACTTTAGTATGTCGTTTATCGAAGTCATCTTCAAGCATACCTTGATCAGATCCTTATATTCAATAAATAGATGCATGACCAGATCATATCCTGTTATCAAAGCTATTGAAAACGCTAAGCTATCAATACTAATACTAGAAAACCTCAACACATAATTGAGCCTTAATTCCCAACTTTCTCATTTCCCTTAAAGTGGCTTGCTTTCTTCTCTTAACATTTTTTTATAGGATTAACCTCTTTTGGTACCCAGTTTTGTAGTGAAGATCTTGGTTTGGAGTTTTGAGTTCTTATCCCTAGGACACTACCTCTTAGAGAGTTGTGGGGTCATATACTCAGCGAACAACTCAATCCTGACCTATGCCCGAGGTTTCATGTGTTCTCCGCGATATGGTCTAATACTTACATCTAAGGCTTCATGCGTTCTCTGCAACGTAATCTGTCATAGGATCATGTTGCACTATTCATTGAGTGGTCTCTAGGATATCTTAGGTCTTAGTTCTAAGAGGTTTTTTTTTTTTGTTATATCTTGAAGCACAACTAAGGGAAAATTCTTAACAAGTATGCCCTAATTCATATGAGTCATAATCATTTATTTGCATGCATAAATCTTTCCTAAGTATCTTGTCACTTGGTATTCATAAAAACCTTGATTTTTTTACAAAGTGTCTTGAGAGTAGTTTCATACTTTTCCTCTTGGTTCACATTTCAAAATTGTCCTAATCCCCTTACCATCTTGCATACTTACGGTTAATATCAAAAACCAGTTTCATATAAATTTCTTTAGTATTTTGAGTCCTTTAAGGTCTTGAAAACATCTTAAAATTCTCATAAGGGTATTTTGGCCATTTATCACCCCAAATCTTGGTTTAAATTCTCAACATATTCCAATGGCCTTTTAACTCTGTGTAATCTCTTTTAATCATGACATAAGGCTTCTTATCAAATTTCATGTCATTTAGAGGTCACTTTGTTCCTAAGCCAACGATACACAATTATAGAGATATTTTAGTCATTTTACAT